TAACCAGAAAATTTATACATCGTCTCATATAAAGGAATATCTTCACCGTTTATACGTTCTACAACAAATGCCGATTATTTTTTATCTCACTATTTACAAAAAAAGTGTTTCGTGATGATGTAACAAATTTATTTGTTTGTCTCACATCCGAGAACAATAAAAAAAGGCACTAAGTATTCTTTAGTATTACGATTACAAATTGAAATGCGAAGATGAAGACTTGAAATTTATTTTTTTCCTGCTTGCGATATATTTTTTAAAAATAATAGAATTACCTAATACATGTAAACTACTGTTGTACAATTTGAGCAATGTATATGAACAGCTGTATAATTTGTACAATGGGGCTTGGTCCACCGTTAAGCAGACAGGGGGACCACCCCTTTTTAATTAATAATTAAAGAGAATTTTAAATTTTAATAAACACCATATTTTTTTAGGAAGAAAAACTCAATTTTTGAAACAAAAATAAGTTATTAATTTAATTTTCTAATCTGAAAAATGTCAGGAATAATGAAAAAAATTCATGTTTCAATATATATATATATATATATATATATATATATATATATATACGTTAAAAAAGATCATACATTCACATAACAATTTTAAGAATCAAAATCAATGCTCAAAATAATTATGTATAAAAAAAATTGAAATCGAGTCACATAATTATTTTTGTAATTCGTTTTCTCCAATGTCTTTTGCGTGAATTTTTCTTTATTATTTTCGTATTTTTACGTATGTTTTTCACATACTTTTTTAGAATATGAAAATTATTACTTGAAAATTAATATTATATAATTAATGTCAAGTGTCTCACCTGTTTGTAAAAGCATAAACATAAGGAGTATCTTGATGACCGTTAAGTAATGGAGTATTCTCCGATCTTTCGTAGCCTTTTCTATTTGTTAAGTGGTTTGTATCTTGTTCAGAACAGACATTCATCATACCCTAATGTGAATATTAACAACGGACGACAACACTTTGGCTACAATGTGATATTTGACGGAGAAATCTTCTTCAGAAATCCCGGTAAACATATTTGTCACCTTAGTTATTTGATAAGCAGTGTAATATATTACGATGCAATGATAAGATCGCATAGTGTTCTATCATGAGAAGAGCTGTGTCAATAAATTGAGATGCGGTTCTTTTGCAAGAGATGTAAAGAAATTTTGATAAGAAATCACGTGTATGATCCCAGGTACGATTTGAAAATTATTATTATTAATTTTATGCTTGGAATTTTTTTTAAAGTTCTCCTTTGAAAAAATGTGTTACGAATAGATATTTCTCAAGGACATGAAAATAAAATATAAAATTCGGTTAGATGTAATTTTAGACTTTTAACAGAGTGAAAGAGAAAGATAAGAAATAACCGTGATATGTTCTTCAAGAAATAGAAGAAAATAAATAATTAATTATTCAAATTATATTGCGTTTAAAATGCAATTGAGAAAAAAATGAAATAAATCTGGTTTCTTTTTTTAAACAAATTGCAAATGTAAATCAAAAGTAAAATTTGTAACATAACAGACGAGAATATAAATTAAGAAATATTTTCTATTAGGGGAAATTATTCTGAACACACACACACACAATCCTGTTACAAAATTAAATACTTTGCAGGCTAAAAATAAAGATACCAACAGTGATTATGTGGTACTATTAAAAAAGTTTAATGATCGTATTATTATTAAAATGTTTCCTAATGCATCTAGTGCACTTAAAAATGTTTTTACTTTAAAATTTATAACAATAATACTTAAATGTTCCATTCATTGCATTAATTCCTCCGTAAATGGTACAATAATTTGTCATAGAAGACATAAAGTGCAAAAGAAGAAAATCAGAAAATTTAAAGTAAAAGAAAAAGAAAATAGAGAATGAAAAAACACAGATTCACACACATTAACCAAAACATTGTTATTGTATGGAGGGGGGAATTGCAAAGGAAATTATGCTGGGTCGCAAATATTGAAAGTTTGAGAAGCACTAAATTAGGGTACCTGTCTGATGATTCTACTTTGCAGTTTGGCTTTTCAAGTAATACTCCTAAGTAATTTCGTAACCGTAATAATGGAAATTGCAAAAGAGTTTTTGGCGGGAGATTGGAAAATTTATACAGATAATTTATTCCATACGGTAATTTATAATGAATGCAATGATATGCAAGGATCGATCAACAAGTAGATTATCCTAATTCCGACAATGGCGTAACGGGGAGATTAGGGCTCCCCTGCAAAGCCAGTTTTTAAACCTGAAGCCGGATCTTACAAAGAACTTCAAAACCATAAAATAGTATAAGTTTTGAGCCCCCTAGAATCCTGTCCACCCCCGCATCGTGGGGTGTACGTTACACCAATGGATTCCAAGGAGACTAGCAACCATACCCAAATTCAACCAAGAAGAAATCTAAGAGTGAACCCAATAGGTAGAATGCAGGGAAACATAAGACAGCACGCCCTTAGGCAAATTGTTGAAAAAACAAGAAAGAAAAAATATCCCCTGAAGACTACAAATTCTGCAGCTGGAAGGAAAAAATAATGGGAAACATGATATACACGTCAATTCTCTCCATCAGATTTCACTGTCCGTGACGTTCACAAGGTGATAATTCGGTCAGGTTTACTAGACATACTAATAAATAATTTTGTGAAATATTTTATGACATATAATACTTTAAACTCATATATACATGCTTATTTAATTCTAAAAATGCTCTGAAACCGAGAAAACGTAAACGAACCGTTTGTCAAGCACTTATAAATGATGAAGTGCTTACATCTCATCGAAAGAAAAATTATTTGTTTATTCCATTTTATTAATTGTTGATGTTGCTAATTGTTAATTGTAGCTGATGTGATTTGATATACATTACATACATATGAATACATTTTTTATTTTAAAATAAAACCGCATCAAGAATATTATTACCAAAAGAAGTTTTAATTGGAGTTTTTTCATTGTCAAATAAATGTTTTATTTTGATTTTAAATTTCAAAGTAGCAGAAAAGAATCCATTTCAAAACATGAATAAAGTAGAGTTTACATCAGGGGTGCATTAAGTTGATCGCGATCGACCGTTAGACTGCCATGATATTTTGGGTGTGATTACCCTTATTAAGATTTAAGACGTGCATACTAGAAGAAACATATTTGCGGAACACCAATGCTAGCTAAACTGGAGACTGCATGGACCGAAACACCATGAAAAAGTTAGAAGTAGCCGGTACTCTGGAAAGGTCTGCCCCCTGGCCTGCATCATTAAACATTGCTTTGATTCATCTATTGCTTTTAACATTTATATGAAATAATACATTGATATAATGGTTTCTAGTAAACATTATTGACATCACGATATCCTCATAAAACAAGTTAAGGTATTCGACTACGTTCGGAACCGTGATTTTAAAATGGTGCATAAATGGATAATTTTCATGATATTTAGTGTCACTTAGAGTAGAATACATGCATAAAATTGTTTTAAGGACATTTTGACAAAAAATTATTTAAATATAATATTTTGGCAAAATATTAACTTAGAATAATCTTTTTTCCAAATGTTCTCCTTTTGTGAAAAATGCTTCTTTTAGAATAATATTTCGCCTGTATATAGCTCAGACCTCAGTTCGAAGACTCAACTAGAATTTTAGAAATATATAACTTAGAAGTAGGTTTATTCATATTTTACGACAACAGAGAGGAGTAATTTTAAGAAAAAAAACGCGGATAATTATTTCAACTAGTGGTAACTCTGAAAATAATGTGAATGTTTCAAAACTTCTAGCTGAGCCTTTGTAGAGAGGTCTGAGCCATATACAGGCCAAATATTATTATAATAGAACCATTTTTTTAGAATAGGAGAACATGTAGAAAAAAGATTATTCTAAGTTAATTTTTTGCCAAAATATTTTATTGAAATAAATTTGTTTTTGGCAAAATGTCCTTAAAACAATTTTATGCATGTATTCTAATCTAAGTGACACTAAATATCATGAAAATTATCCATCTATGCACTTTTTTAAAATCACGGTTCCGAACGTAGTCGGATACCTTAAAAGAAAATCGTGCTAATTTTATGGAAAATTATTGTTTTTAAATTGTAAAATAATACTCTGCACGTTATGTTTCTAAAAGCATTAAAAATTTGAATTGACAAAAAAAATTTATTTAAATATAATATTTTGGCAAAAATTAACTTAGAATAATCTTTTTTTCCAAATGTTCTCCTTTTGCAAAAAATGGTTATATTATACTAATATTTTGCCTGTATATAGCTCAGATCTCTCTATAGAGGCTCAAATAGAATTTTGGAAAAATTCACATTATTTTCAGAGTTACCACCCATTGAAATAATTATTGGCGTTTTTTTTTCTTAAAATTGTTTCCCTCTGCTGTCATAAAATATGGATAAACCCACTTCTAAGTTATATATTTCAAAAAATCTAGTTGAGCCTCTGTAGAGAGGTCTGAGCTATATACAGGCAAAATATTATTATAATAGAAGCATTTTTCACAAAAGGAGAACTTTTGGAAAAAAAGATTATTCTAAGTTTTTTTTTGCCAAAATATTATATTTAAATACATTTTTTGTCAAAATATCCTTAAAACAATTTTATGCATATATTCTAATCAAAGTGATACTAAATATCATGAAAATTATCCATTTAAGCGCTTTTGCAAAATCACGGTTCCGAACGTAGTCTGATACCTTAAACTACTCATTGGATACCAGAGTTCTCTTTTTCAATTCGTACTATTAGTTCACAGTTTCTCTATATGTGTATCCTGTTCAAACTTTCCATCGTTAATAAAATACTTTCTATTCATCCATTAAAGATCAAATACATTTTTTTAAAACTTGTAGTGGGTGACATTTGATGCTAATACAGTTTTTTCAAATGTTAATTTCTTTAGTTAAATTTAATGAATGAATAAATAGTAACAAAAATAATAGTCTAACACCTCACATAAAAAGGAAAACTGCTCGTTGTGTCCCTGCAGTGCAATTGATAGCGCGTTGAGCTTTTAATCCAAAGGTCGTAGATTCGAGTCCTACCTGGGATTGCCTAATTTCTGAGAATGTGATATATGAATGAATAAAAAGGAACAAACAAAACTAATAGTCCACCACCATATATAGAAAGGAAAATCGCATTGTATTTTGCTACTTAAAATTGTGATTCTATCATACGTATATACACATTTATATTAACTGTAATTATTTAATAAAAAGTAACTAAAATAAAATTTTTCGTTATTGGCCTAAGTAGGAATTGACTTAATTTTTTATACTACTTGTTTTTTCAGGATCTTGAACTTTATGTATTAATATATTTAGTATACTTAAATGTTTTTAAGTTAAATTTTTAATTTTATTTTGTTTTTTAAATAAAATGCTATAAATCCAGATTTATTTCTTTAATTCTACAGTCAAAATTAAATTTTAACAGTAAAAATGAACAGAAGTTTTAATAAAAACATCATTTCTTTTTCTTGAGGCCTCTAGAGTTTAGAAAAAAAAGCCATTTCCTCCTTTTGAACAAATTTCTCTTTAAAATTGTAACTATAAGCTTAGATTAAGAAGAGAAAATTCACGTCTAAAACCAAATTACTCTATTTTTACAAGTGAGGAAAATAGCATTAAAAGAACACGAAAATTATATTTGATTTCCATGAAATAAAATTCATATTGAAGGACAGACTTATTTTATATTATGCAACATGAATAATCAGATTCACAATAAAACCGCTATCTGAACGTATCGTTATCTTTTTTTTCTGCTTGAACTTGACCCAAATGAGAAAAAAATTATCTTTAATTTGTTTAGCATGCTGAACAAAAAATAACTAAGATTTATACTTGATATAACTGAAAAAGGCAACGTAATGAGCAAAAAAAAAAAATGCTAAAGAGAACTTATAAATTTCCTTAAGACACTCTAGGAAATTGATTTGATAGAAAAATGACATGAAACACAAAGCTGGAGTAATTGCTCAACATTTAATTTTAAATCAACAATTTATTTTATTATTTTTCGATTAAAAATAATTAAGTTATATAGTTTTTAAAAATATGATTTATTCAAAAAAAGTTTTATTATTTCACGATAGGTCAATTTTTAAGAATACAGAAGTACATAATTCAAATTTTTAAGTAAAAAGAAATTTAAAATTTACGATGATTTAACAAAAATAAAATTATTCGGTTTGAGTATTTCTTTTAAAAATAATAAGTATAAATTAGGTATGCAATTATATATAATATTTTCTATATGAATATTAAAGAATTTTTAATTCTGCTTCCCAACAATATTTATCTAGAATTTCTTTGCTAGAATTTATATCCTTTATTTAGAGACGTAGATATTTTTGTTACTAATTTTTAACTTAGTAAGAGAACTTTATTGTAATGATTCATTTTGTATTGCATTTAAATATAATGTATTTTATCTATGCCAATTTTTTTTTCCAATTTGAAGTAAAGTTTTTAACAATTCATATTAAATCCAATTTTTTTCCTGAATTTCGTTTGGATATTGTAAGTACTGATTCAAGGAAAGCACGAGTAGTATTTAGAGATTGTGATATCTCTCAGTAATCATGGGGGTGTGAACTTATGACTCACGTTGTTTCTGTTGAGTCAAGGCTCGGGTTCGACTTATGACTCAGAGTGCAGAGGGGTTGATTCGCAGAGGCTCGAAATCGTCCCATTGGAGTGGAGTGGAAGCTTGGAAACTAAAGTTCTAGCTCAGGTGTGGTACTCGTCACTTGGTTGTGGTTAAAAACTACGTAATCCATCTGAGCTCGGTCCCTTTGGGCATTCCCCCACCCAATAGAATCAAATTCCTTAAATGAGGTACAGATGGTTCGCTTGCGGTGGAATGGATTAGAGGTACTCTGGAGCAGAGAAACCTCTCTCAGGGCCGCCTCTAGCAGTTTTGCTACCACGAACAAAACAAGAAAATGCCTCTCCTCTCTCCAAAGCAAAAAATTATTTTAAAAAAACAGATAAACTGTTCATATAAATGCGCAATTATAAAACTTGAAAACTTGAATAATATAATATATATATATATATATATATATATATATATATATATATATTTTAAATCATAAAAAATTAAAAATAAAAAAAAATTAAAAATTCGAAATATATGTAAAGATCATAATTACTTGATTTTATTTCAAGAGAATGAATCGTACATTTCAGCAGACCAATTTCTTCGAAAAATAGTCTACTGATGTTGAGAATTACAAGCGTTTGTTTTAACTAAAAGTAACTACATTCCAGACTAAAATAAAATATCTTTTGCGGCTTTCTATCTACCAAAACTTATTACCTTTTTCCTCTTTTGGATAGATGACACCGGACAGCGTAAGGGTGAAAGGAATGTCCATTGTCACCTCACTCCGGGATAGGGAGAAAACTACCAGTCAAAGATGCGTAAACATATTATATTTCATGATTTAACATGTACTCCCGCTTCGAAATCTAAAAGTGCAACATAAAAGAAAACTGTCAACAATATTTCTCAAATTCGATCCAAATGCCGCCCTTAAAGTGCGCCGCCCCGGGCAAGCGTCCGTTTGTCCAGCCCTAAAGACCCCTCTGCTTTTCTAAATCCTCTTTTTATTTCTCACACAATGTAATACATTTTTCTGTCTTAGCTCTTTAACAGTATGGGTATTCGTTTGAGGATAATTTTTTGTTTCGTTAGCAGGGTTTTGTTATACGGAGCACCTAGTCCGTCACGGCTTTTATCTCCTGTCTTGATGTATTATGATCTCATGAGATCGTTTATTACATTGCCCATTTTTTAAAAACATATTGATAAAATTTAAGGAAAAAAATAAATGAAATTAAAAAGATTTAGGAAGAAACAGCTTTTTTTTCAAAGCTAATAAATTGGTAATTAATTAAAATTTTAAAGGAAATAGCTTTTTTCAAAGCTACTAAATACTGCTATTGCAATCAGGAAAGTTAAAGTTACTTGCAATTCCCTCGGTCAATGAGAGCCTCGGGAGATCTAACTGCCCGACCCCAATGGAATAGCAGCTAATCGAGTCGTGTTGTGTGAGTGAGAAGATGCGTGATCCTTGCTCCTTTCCCGCGATCGCGAGAGGGTTTTTAAATAACAAAAAGATATCTACAATAAAATTCAATACTTTCTTTTTTTCCCCTTTTTTTGGAATACTTCCTTTATGTTTTTTTTTTTTAAAAAAAGAGCGGGAGATGCGTTTTGATGCAGAATCATTTTTTTTAAACTGAAGGACAAATTAAGAGGAAAAAGTATTAACAGGAAGTGGTGGCAACAATTGAAAAAAATGAATTGAAAAAACATTTTTAAATGTTTCCTGTCTTTTTTTCTTTGGTTATGTTTAGCACATTTGTACTGAATAATATTTTGATTCAACCAAGTAGGCTTGGGTTCTATTCACAGATTTTCTCTTCTATCTAAATTTGCTTTCGTTTTCGGTGCTTGCACTGTTTTTGAAATTATTTTTCTAGCACTTAAAGCATTTTTTAATATATATATATATATATACATTAATTACTCTCGAATAAGTATATTTTACCTTTTAAGTTTTATTAATTAAAGTGCAAAATAGTCACATAACACTACAGTCACACAAAATTCTATGATAAGAGGTTAAAGCTCGTCAGAGCTAGGCACTCTGGTATAATCCACCCAACTATATTTTCTCTTTTATCTAAAAGCAATTATTTTCTCCGAAAATTTATTTTCCTATATTTTATTCAAAATTCTTATTTTTTAATATTTTTTCCTCATGAAGTAAATTTTGTATAGCTTTTATAAAAACTGTTTCTGCATTTCCCTTATTGAGGATTCATTTTGTAGCTTTTAACCCTCTGTTAGGCGCATGAATCTCTCAGATGCATAGTTAAAATAATGGTGGCACGGTGTTAACTAACCACATTATCTTTATGATGTTTTATCGTATGAATATTTCACACAATTCCTAATTCTATTTTAAATATTTATTTATGTCAAATTTATTTTAATATTAAATCTCACTAATAAAATGATTAAATCATCTTCAAGCCTCTATATGAGGTGATGCATCTAAGGCATGCCGCATGCCTATGGATGAAAATTTCTCAAGCGGGCCTAGCGGAGGATTAAAAAAGCTTTTTCTTGCATTCAATAATCAGCTTAGCCTGTTGGTCAAGATATCGGGTTGTGGCTGGCGTGTCATGAGTTCGAGCCCAGTACCACTAAAGACCCGCCGAGTAAGGGAGCGATTGACGTTAAATCTGCTTAGAGCTCAGACGTCCTGCCGTTGGTGTGGCGTGGTAGTTAGGAGAGGAGATGCCAGCTCAGGTGTTGTCCTCATCACCTGCCCATGGTTCAAAATTACGAGATCCGTCGCCAAACGCTTACGTGTAGCTGAACAGGGCGACGGTAATATTCACTCACTCACTCGGCTTTCTTAGCTGCAGCCCCATTGGTGAGGTCAAACCCCGCCCACTTCCTGATCCATAATAACTTAAATTTTTCGGAGTTCTACATCGATTTTGATTAATTTTTCCTCGCATTTTAATGCACTCTTATATTACATTGTTAACTTGTAAATTTTAACATCAAAGTAAAATATTTTAACAAAGGGCAAGAGTTAAAACGTCTGTAGAGCTTTAATGTCTTATAATAATGAGACATTAAAGCTCTACAGAGCTCAGCATTCTGTTCCACCTTGCAACGACATTATTTTTGATGTTTTTGTAAGAATGCTGGAATAACGTATATTCTGTTTTTCCTTCTCTTACTCTGTTTTCTTTTTATTTTTGTATTATGTCATTATATATGTATATCGTGCAGTTAACAGGGCCGCTTTTCCGCTTAGACACTTTAGGAGCGTGCATAGGGCACAAAAAACTGGATTGCAAAAAAAAGGAATTTTTTTTTTGAATTTTACAGCAAAAGAACTAATCTAGAACGCCTAGCGAGGTCATTAGAGATGCATTTCTGCCCTTAAGAGACTGAAATGAGATTTACTATGTTTTAACAGTCTGATGTTGCTATGCACTCAGAATAATATTACAA